GAAAGTGCCAACATGTTAGGGCTTTTATATATATATCAGGTATCTTTAAATCAGAACAAAAAAAGAATCTTTGGAAAAGCTACAAAAGGGGTCAAATACTAATTTCTGGAGGGATGAAAGGGCGTTTAATAATTAATGTGATTAAATACTTTGCTATTGTCTTAATGATCACTGGAGTAGGACCTTAAATCAGATCTTTCAGAACTTTGCAGTACAATTAGCCATGTTACTTTTGATAAAACATGTGTTTTTTTGTCAACTTAACTTTGAAAAGAAATAACCGTTTATATCCATTTCTGAACTTTTAAAATGCCTTCGTTCACCAGAGATAATTGCTTCCTTTCATGATTGAATAGTGTAGTTTTTTAAAAAATCGGCATCTAGGAACCCACTGCTGTACTTCTTTCTGGGTTTGTCAGTTGCATATCTTTTTGTTTGTTTGTTTTGACATCGCAACAGGTAGGAAGAAAATGTCCTGTTTAGGTTTTATTACTATTTATTTCAAGATTGCTAAACAGATGTATCAGTTTTGGTACACTTCCTATGTGCCTCTGGTGCACAGTTGCACTTCAAATACACTGAAACCTGATCTGCTATACTGTGGTGGGACAGAGGAAAACTGATGTGTGAACTACAAGCAATGTTGTCTCTCTACCACCTCTCAAATATGTGGAAAAATTTCATCTACATAGTGTCTGTGTTACAAAGAGAATAACACAAGATCATTATGATGGTCAGTCTTGTAGCTTTAGAAGAATGTTTAATCCCTCTTATTTATGTAAAAGTTGCATTGGGTTAATTTTTTGCCGTTAAAAAGTACTATAAATAGTACTCTAAGACTTATATAAAAGCATTATATAAAATGCTGACTTTGACCCAGGAGATTGCTTTCACAAGGCATAACATTATTGTTATTTTTTAAAAAAAATAACCCTTCCACCCCCATTATATCTCTGAATCAGAAATGTGTTTGCAGCAACAGCCATCCCTTCAGCAGATATGCTGTTTAACAAACAAGTGTTGCCTTTGACACTACAGATGGGTTAGTGTATGAGTATCCAAGAGCAACACACACACAAAAAGCAAAGCAAGCATGATTTTCAAACACAAAGTTATGATATTCTCAAACCTGACCTGGAGACTGAGTTTTAAAAAAGATTTGTAGTGTCATAGTCAAAATATCGAAAAGAAGCTTATTTTTCCATAGGTTTGTTTAATTCCTTGGTGGAATTGATACTTAAGGGTTTTTAAGTATGCTTCATTCCCTGGTTTAATTCCTTGGTGGAAACGATACTTAAGGGTTTTAAGTTTTTATTCCTGCCACTTTTACCTCTTGCAAAGTGTTTGGTTTCTTTTAGGTAGTTTCCTGCCGGGGAGGTTTGCTCAAAAGCCAGTCAAATCCAGCTCTAGGGGGCGGTGCAATCAGCACCATCCCAAAGAAAAAGAAATGCAAGAAAGCAAAGTGGCTGTCTGATGAAGCTTTACTAATAGCAGTGGAAAGAAGGAAAGTGAAAGGCAAAGGCAAAAAGGAAAGATTTACCCAACTGTATGCAGATTTCCAGAGAACAGCAAGGAGAGATAAGGAGGCCTTCCTGAATGAACAATGCGAAGTAATAGAGGAAAACAATAGAATGGGAAGGACTAGAGATCTCTTCAAGAAAATTGGAGAAAACAAGGGATCCTTCCATGCAAAGCTGGCCATGATAAAGGACAAAAACGGTAGGGACCTAACAGAAGCAGAAGAGATTAGGAAGAGGTGGCAAGAATACATAGAAGAACTATACAAGAAGGACCTCAAAGTCCTTGACAACCACGACGGTGTGATCACTGACCTCGAGCCAGACATCCTGGAGTGTGAAGTCAAATGGGTCTTAGAAAGCATTGCACACAACAAAGCTAGTGGAGGTGATGGTATCCCAGCTGAGCTATTCAAAATCTTAAAAGATGATGCTGTTAAAGTGCTGC